TGCCAGATAGAGGGTCTGGGAAAAGCAGCTCCTCCTCACCATGCAATGGGAACCGCCGCCTCCTGCTCGGCACCCATGGGGATGCGGCTCTGCAGGTAGTGGAGTTGGCCGAAGTACTTGCGTAGTGTGCTGCAGCCCTCGAAGTCCCTGGGCACATTGACGGCACTCTGGAGGGGAGAAAGGAGGAGGAAAAGGCTACCATGGGGGCAGGAGCAGTTGGACAGGAACAGGAGCCTGCTGGATTTGTGGTGAGATGCACAGGCTGGGATAGGAGCCTTTGTGGTGGGGATGGCCAGAGCTGGGCGTTTGCTGGCTGTCCCGGGAGTAAGGAGCTTGGCCTTATAAAAAAAGGCCTGCAAAACACATCTAGAAGAACAGGTCTGTTCACCTAAAAGTGAGGCTGGACAAAGCTGCTTTATGGATCCAGAGTAACTGATCCATGAGGAAGCCTCTGCTCTGCCCAGCACAGGCTCCCGCAGGTGAAATAAATGAGGGGAACTTGGAAATTACTGAAAAGGGGGTGTCTTGTACAGGGCACAGGACCTGCTGCTATGGCAAAGCTGAGAGAAGGAAGGGAAGAGCAGGAGACACCAGAACATTTTTCCAACCTCCTGCTTCAGGGTTAATCCCACAGGCAGAGGCCAGAGCTCCCCAGATCTGGGCTATGGGTGTTTAAGCTGCCAGTCAGGGAGCTTAAACCCATCAAGTCCTACTGGAAGGCCACCACTGTGCTTTGGAAACACTGGTGAGATGACACCAGTGCCTGCACCATGAGTTCCCCCCACTCCACCCTACGTATCAGGTTTATGGCCCCTCTACAAAACCAGCACTGGTGCTGGCACAGGGCAGAGCTCTGGGCATCTCCAGCCAGTTTTACCACCCATGTCTCAGGTACCAGCTGGACAGGGCCAAGGCTGCCTCTAACCTGCTCAGAACCACCAAAAGTGATGACTCCAGTGACTAAAACAACTATTTGGGCTCCACAGTTGAGAGCAAAAAGCTGATTTATTCCCTGCAAAGACCTCAGGCACCAGCCCAACTGACAAAGCAATTCCTTCCACCCAACAGGGAACTATTCAATACAAATCCCCCCCATATTCAGGGAAGCGGACACAACAGAAGCTTAAGCATGCTCCTTGGAAACCTTGAATCTGGGGAGCCAGGATGCAGCCCAGTTTCCAAAAGCCTCATCTGTGGGCTGCTGGTGAGGAAAAGAAGCAGACATGGTAGCACTCTGGCACAGTTCCCAGTCCAGGGAGGTGGTGGAAGCCAGAATACGGATCCTTGAGCAAAGGGCAGGGTTAGGGTTCAGCTCCCTGGGTTCAGCTCTGGCAGGTCACCCCAGGGCCACAGTTTGGGAGGGAACCCAGCTTACCTGCCGGAGCAGCTCCAGCTTCCGCAGCTCCTCATTGTAATTCTCTGGGTTCTCCCCATAGTTCTTCAGGACAAACTGGAGGGACACGAGAGAGGTGAGAGCCTGGCCTGACACCTGAAGCCACCTTCCCAGCCCCACGCTGGAGCTACAACTGGCAGCTCTCCAGGGAGAAGCCCCCAAGGCAGGTCTGGCAAAGTGAAAGGGACTACTTGAGGCCTTCTGGGAGCTTGTTTCTCCCCTAAGGTTCCCCAAATCTTGCCCAGCTCCTACTGAACCTCAGCTTAATGCAAAGCCAGGGCGCAGGGTCCTGCACAAACACTCTGGGCAGAGGCACTGATCTGGCACACAACAGAGACTTTGGAGCTGGGGCATAAAAGCTGGAAGCAAGTGGCCATGAGGTCCTGAGGAGTTACTAGCAAACAGGACAGAGAGAACTAAAGTGACTCCAGCACCTGCTCTGTGCTGGAATGAAAGGAAAGTCTCTTGCAGAGCTTCAAAGGGTGATGCCGCGCTGGTGGCTGGCCAAGCAGCAGCTCATCCCAGTGAGGGCAGAAAGGGAAACGAAACAGGATAGCATGGAACAGTCTGGCCCTGCAGCCCGTACCAGAGAGGAGCTGGAGCCAGGGCTTGGCCAAAGATGCTCATTAAGAAATAAAATTACTGCTGCATCCCTGAGGAAGGCGCCTGGTGATGAGTTATGTCTCCCCAGCACCACAGAGGGAGCAGCCAGCACAGGGCTCCCCAAATGCACCTTTAGCAAGAGTTTTGGGAACCCTCAGATCATGATGCTGCCAGCAAGCATAGTGCTCCCCAACTGCAGGGAGCTGGGACCCTTCAATGGCCTGTCAGGAATTCATCCAACCTTCCTGACAGCTGCAGAAGAGAATCAGGGACCCACAGCCCCACTCTGCTCTGGCCTAGGTGGACACCAGGGTTTGATCCACCCCAGTGGCTACCAGGTTAAGGGTGGCTGGGGATGTCTGGAGGGCTGCCCACACCCTCTATCACTTGAGCTCAAGGTGAACACAGCTCAGTGCTGGAGAAAGGAGGAACGTTTCCCTTCCGTTTTGACCAGGGCACCAGGTTTCTATTTGCCAGTAAAGCAGCATGCGTTTCTATCAAACACCCACAGGGAAGGTCGGTTCACAAACCGGATTTCCACCTGCTGCCATACACAAATTCCCTAAACAGCCCACTTTTGGTTAAGACCCTATTTCTTGAGCCCAGCTCTGACCTGGAGGCCACCATCCATCCCTCTGCCTCAGCTCTGAGGCCCACAGCACAGCCAACTCCCCGCTGAGAGCTGCTGCACCTTGTCCCGACTGGCACAGCATGACTCAGCTCGGCGATCCCACAACACCTTCCTTCCGGCACAGGGATGTTCCCACCAGGCTAATGCCACTGTCAGGGTCTGACAGGATGCCAGCCCCACTCTGCCCCCCAAAAAACAGGAGGGTGGAAAGTAGGTGGTGACATAAACACAGGAGAACCCCCGCTCCTTCTTCCACATCCATAAATCCTGCTTTTCGTCTATGGGTGGCACTAGGAAACACCAGGCAGAGGTGGAGCTTGTTTACAGCTGATTAATTAAGTCCTTCATGTCCCTAAAGCAACCAGCAAGGACAGGTCTTGTCCCTCGTGACCATCTGTGGCACCCACCAAACTCTCAACCTTCCTCCTGCAAAGGAACTGGGGGTTTAACCGATGATCTGACAGCCTGGGGGCTGCTGCCGGTGGGAGATCCAGCACCCCCCTCCTCGGGTTCCCGTTTTACACGAGCCCGTGGGAGCAGAGTGAAAGGAGGTGCCAAAAGGAGACACAAGGGATTGGCCGCAAAAGAAGACATGAGGAATCAGCCATCACCAACCCCGATCTCCTAACGCCATGGCATTAGTAATGACCTGCTGCTGGAGGGGGGAGGCCGGAGCAGGCACTGGGGCTTGGGGAAGGGTGGCTGAGCATCGGAAGCCGGGAGTCAGCACAGTCACATGCAGCAGGGATGGACTTGCCAACTCATCGCTCTGCCCTGAGGTGACAGGGGAAGGCTCTGCCCGGGGTGGGGGGTGCTCCAGGGACTCCCCCTCCCCAAACTCTGTCCCTCTGCCAGCACTTGCTGACCCCAGCTGCTGAGGGAGCGAGTGGGGCCAAGCCGTAGGGCTGGTGGGGGCACACGGCCTCACTCCTTATCATCCAAGGCAAAGGGAGCCACCGCACCTCACCCTCTCCCCATACACTCAGGAGCTGCCCAGGTCCCTGCCTCAGAATGCCCCCAGCAGCCCTGACCCACAGCCCCCGCAAAACACCTTCAGCTTTAACTCCCTGCTCGACCAGGACCCCCCCAAATCCCTAACCTTCTACACTCCCTTTCCTTGTGCACCCCAAACACTCCCCACATCCCAAATACCCACCACAGAGTTCCTCTTCCTATCCCAAGCACTCCTCATCCTCACAGACCCCAAAAACCCCTCACAGAGCCCTCGATCCCTCCCGTGCCCCACACTCCAAGCACTCCCCTCCCTCACAGACCCTACCTATCTCCCCCCAAGCACTCCCTTCTCATAGACTCCAAACACTCCTCTACCCTCCAGACCCCCTTCTCTTCCTCCCAAGCACTCTCCCTCCTTACAGATCCCCCTCCCCACACCCTGAGCACTCCTTTCCCTCACACACATTCCCCCCCCCCGCACTCCCCTCCCTCACAGGCCCCTCCCGCCCCGCCCCTGTCAGGCCCCTCCCGCTCCCCCCCGCGCCCCTCGCCGGCCCCAGCAGCCCCTTTCCCGGCCCCACCTTCTTGACGGCGGCGTTGAAGGCGAACTCCCCGGCTTCCTTGAGGTCCAGCCAGATCATGGGCATGCGGGGCACGGCCTCCATCCCGGCCTGCGCCCGCCGGAACCACCCACCCGCCGGAACCCCGCGCGCCGCCTCACGGGAAACCGAGTCCTCGCGACGGCACGAAGCTCACCTCGCCTCGCCCCGCCCCTTCCGGCGGCCGGCGCCACGGCGACACCTCGCTCGCTGATAGGTGGAGAATGGCTGTTCCCGTGGCGACCCACCGCCCCTCACCCCGGAAGGCCGCGGGTCGTTGCTATGGCAACGGCCATCCCTGTCGGGCCTGGCCCAGTGCAGGCCCAAGTGAGGGCCTGGATGTTCCCAAGGGCCACTCCTTTAAGTTAATTAGCCCTTTACCCTCCATCTCCTGTGGCTTACCCCCACTATCACAACGTACGTTCAAATTCGTGCTTCATAGGTGATTCCCCCGGTGATTCCCTGATCTCCCACACGAGGCTATCACTGGATCCGCTCCAGAGACACCATTAATGTCAGAATGACAATGGTGGTTTCCTATAGCACCCCACTAATTGAACAGGTTGATGAGTTCTGGCTTGTTAGCTGTCCCCCAAACACCCAGCCCTCCTCATCCCAGAGACTCCATCCAACCCCATCTGATCCCATCCCACATATCCCAACCCATCTCATAGATCCTAGTTTACCCCATCCCAGAGATCTGATCCCTTCCATCTCACTCCATCCCACAGATCCCACCCCACCTGTCCATCCCACCTCCACCCATACCCTCCACTCCTTCCCCCCTGCTCTGCTGAGTGGTCCTGGCCGCTCTCAGAGGGCTATGTGGGTCTCAGCCAGCTCTTTATTCCCAGTGCACACAGAGGTTTTGGGATGGTCCCGGGGGAGATGCAGGGTTGGGGGTCACAGGGCAGCAGTGAGGCCGCAGCAGAGGCCGGTGGGGCAGAGTGTGGGCAGGGGGTGATGGACCAGCTGCCCTCCCTCATTTCCCGGGCCAGTAAAGCACGAAGCCATCGTGGCTCTTGCTGAAATCCGGGGTGGCCGCATCCGGCCGTGTCTCCACTGTCAGCAGCCGCCGGCGCCCGCGGAAGCTCAGCTGGATGCAGTCGGAGACCCGGACCTGCAGCTCCCGCTTGGTCCTGCAACAACGTCCCAGTGTCATCAGTGGGGGTTCACACATGGGGATCTGCCACAGCCCCAGCCTGAGCCCCCCGACTCACGTGCGGCAGTGCTCCAGCAGGACCCCCACCAGCTCTCCCACCCGGTTGTCCCCCGCTGGCTGCATCTTGTGCAGGCACACGGCCAGGTCCTCCTGGCTCTGGGTGTGGAACACCACCAGCTGCGCCCGGCAGCTTGTCACGCTCAGGCCTGTCACCTGCGGGAAGAGGGGGACATGTCCCTGTGTCACCACCAATGCCATGGGACAGCACGGTGGAGACAGCATGGCACAGCCAATGTGGTGTGGAGAACAGGCAGGGTGGTGGGGACAGCACTGTGTGGAGAGCATGGCATGGCCGGCATGGCACAGACAGTGCGGCATAGCCAGCATGGTAGGGACAGTGTGGTGGGGCCAGCAGCCCAACCCCATCCATCCCAGCGCACTTGACCATGCCAATGCAATGGTCCTGGTGCATGGCTGTGGGGACCATTGAGGGGTCTCCAGCCCTCTGGGTGGGGTCGGAACAACCAGGACACCAGGTGCCCCTGACCCCGTCTTGCCAGGACAGGGGTACACCTCGCGGTGCTCTTTTCCCCCTGCCATACCCTGGGGACACTGGGGGAAGGTGGCTGGGGACACTCACGGTGCTGAGGGGTATCGCCCGCATCATCAGGTAACGCTTCCGGGGATCCAGCTTGTAGACATGCTGGTCTGTCACCAAGATGGCCCGATCCTGGCTCTTCCCAAAGCGGTTTATCTGCAGGGACAGGGAGAAGTGAGGGGACATACTGGGGAGTGACACAGATGTGGTGGCCAGGCAGGAGCCCCCGTATCCCTTACCTTGCGGACATGGCAGGAGAAGAGAACGGAGCCAAAATGCACCTTGTCCTTGAGGCTCTGGAGGCGGCGGGCGAAGAGCAGCGCCAGCGCCGGGTTCTCGCTGGGCTGTGGGAGCCGTGGTGTGAGTAGGGGGTGACACCACGGGGGAGGAGCACCCCAAGGTGCTCTGTGGGGCATCCCAAACCCTCTGGCAGCCCTTACCGAGGAGAGGTAATCCCGTGCCCAGCTGCGCTGGCAGCCCCAGGCCTCCCGCAGCCCTCCCAGTGCCACCATGGCAGCCACCTTGGCCCGGATCTGCCCCATCTCTGATGGGGGGATGTTCTTGATGATCTGCCGCGCTCGCCACCTGCATTGGTGGGACACAGCACGGTCACGGCCCTGTTCTGTGTCAGCATCCGACATTTAAGTCCTGCATCCCCATTCCCATTTTCCCAGCCCACATTCCCAGCCCACATCCATCTTACATTCCAGTTCCACACCCCCATCCGTGTCCAAGTCCCTGTCTCACATCCCCATCCCACATCCCCATCTCATGTCCCCGTCCCATGCCCTCATCCCACATAAGCATCCCACCTCCTCATCCCTATTTGAGTCCCCATCCTGCCTCCCCATCCTATGGTCTCCATTCCCTTCCCACATCCCTATCCCATGTCGCCATCTTATGTCCTTGTCCCACATTCCAGTTTTAAGTCCCCATCCCATGTTCCTGTTCCATGCCCACATCCCACATCCCCACCCCTGTCTGAATGCCCATCCTGTACCCCGCCTCCCAGAGTCCCCATCACATGGCCCTATCCCATTACTCCATCCAACATCTCCATCCAAAATCTCCGTCACACAGTCCTCATCTTGTGTCCCAGTTCCACATTCCCAACCCACATTTCCATCCCGTATCCCCATTCCCACATCCCTGTTCCCATCACCACATCCCCATTCCAACACACAAATGGAGCAGGATTTAAGATGGTACCTGCGGAAGAGGTGCTGGCTGGCATCCTGGAAGTGCGCCAGCACTGCCGGTGGCTCCGGCCAAACCACGCTCTTCCCAAAATCAGGAAGGGTGCGGACAGCCTGGAAGCGCTGCAGCAGCTCGCGCAGGTACACCCTCACCTTGTGCCGTTTGTAGCAGGCCATGATGGTGTAGGCTGCCCGCAGGTACCGGCAGCGCCGGCGTGCCAGGGCTCCGCGCCAGGCCTGCCCAGTGCTGGCTGTCAGTGTGGGTGCTGCCATATGGGTCCCCCAGGAGCACGGCTCCAGGAGGTCCCCAAAATGCTGGTCCCCCCCAAAATCCCTGGTGCAGCCCTTGCCCTGCTCTGAGGAAACGCTCCATGCTGTGCCCTGTGCCGCCAGCCCCACATCCTGCCCCATAGCTGACCCTATAGAAGGTCCCACACCATGCTGAGCCCAATGCCATACTCTCTACTGTGCCCTTTACTATGCCCAATATCCCATGCCCCACTTCCTGCCCCATGCCATATCCCCCAGCACACCCCATTCCAGGTACCATATCCATTCCTGTGCCATGTCCCATGCCGCATGCCCTGCCCTATGTCATGACCTCCCAGCACACCCGATCCCCTGCCCATGTCCTGCTCCACATCTTGGCCCATGCCATGCCCCATTCCATGCTTTGCCCATGCTCTGAACAATCCCGTGCCCCACACCCTGTGCAGCCCTGGGCAACCCCCTCACCCCCATGTCACCCACCTTCTGCAGCAGCAGGACAATGATGGGGATGAGCTGCGCCCGCTCCTGCTCGAGGCAGACGAGGGTACGGGGTGTGCGGATGAAGACCTTGGTGTGGCCGTAAGCCACATCGTCCTGGAAGCCGTGCTGCTCCAGGAGGGCTTGCGTAGCCTCCCGGTCACTGGCCATCAGGTGGTTGGGCCACGTGTACTCACAGGTCATTTTGTACCTGTGGGGCAGAGTAGGGTGAGGGGACATGGAGGGGGTACTGGGAGTCTCAGGGATTGGGCCTGGCCATACCGCAGGAGGAAGCGGTGGTAGGGCTGGCGGTAGGCAAACCCGGCACGGCGCACACGGACGTTCTCCAGCAGCCCCAGGTAGGAGACCTGGTGCCGGCAGCGCTCCACGTCAAAAAGCGTTGGAGACTTCTGGTCATTGGGCTTGATGCAGCGCACGTAGTAGGGCTCCTGCGGGGACACCGAGGGGATGGTGCTGTGGTGGCACCCACCAGTGGCACTGAGCCCACGGGTGACCTGGGCTGAGGGTCTCAGGGTAACACACAGGGTGAGAATGCCTTGGACATGGGGACAGGAGAGCACAGCGGCCTGAGGACACGCCTGGATGGCACAGGGACACCTTGGCTGGCTCTGGGGACATGGCTGGCTGCCTCAAGGACATGCCTGGGTAGCTTGGGAACATGCCAAGCTGTCACAGGGACAAGCCAGGCTGGCTCAAGGACATCTTGGCTGTCCTGGGGACATGCCAGTTTGGTACAGGGACATGCCTGGCTGTCACAGGAATATCTTGGCTGGCTCTGGGGACATCTTGGCTGGGCTGGGGACAGTTTGGTTGGCTACGGACATGCCTGTCTGCATCAAGGACATCTTGGGTGGCCTGGGGACATGTCACAGTTGTACAGGTACATGGCAGGCTGGCTCAAGGAATATCTTGGCTGTCTGGGGACATGTCTGTGTGCTTTTGTGTCATACACAGCTGCCACAGGACATACCCAGATGGGTTAGGGATGTGTCAAGTGGTGCAGGGATGTGCCTGGCTGTCCGCAGTCCCCTACCTTGGAGGCGAGGTTTTCCACCAGGGCCACAATGGAGTTCTTGAAGAGTGTGCCAGTGGTCAGCGGGCGCTTGGTGACCTCGGTGATGCTCTGCTCGCCGTCAGGCCACATGGCATGCAGCACAGGGTCCGCACTGAGGGATGGCATTGGTGTGGGACTGGCAGCACCAGGCACCCCACTCCTGCCTCACAGCTGTGCCATCAGCCCCACAGCTGTGTCTTCTGTGTCCCCAACCTGTTGTAGAAGAGACGCTTGAAGTCCTGGAAGAGCGTATCCTTGTTCTTATCCAGGAACCCTTCCACTGAGTACCTGAGGGAGAGGGACACCATGCTGGGGCTGAGGGTGGGTCAGCTCCCAGCTCCAAACAGAGGTGACATGTAGCCCTAGGGGCACCCACGAAGACCAGGGGACTGTGGGGTTCAGTGCTCATGGACACAGAGCCCACTGACCCTGTCCCTGCTGCCCCCATGGCATGGCATGTCCTATACAGCCCATCCTGCTGCATGGGGCCTCTGTGCCTCCCAGGCCCCACGGACTTCAGCGGTCCCCCTAAATGGCCTCCCATGGCCCTAGGTGGCTCCCATGCCCTCCTGAGGTCCCACATGGCCACCCATGATAGTCACCCACTTTCCCATGGCCCCAACTAGCTCCCCCAGCCAGTCCTCCATGATCCTCACAGCCTGACGGTCTCCCATGACCCCAAATCACCACCCAGTCTCTCAAGACCCTCCTCCATGTTTCCCCATGGTTGTTCAAGATCCCATGGTCAATCTTAGATCCCCCAACACCCCTTATAGTCCCATGATCCCAAGTGGACCCCCATAGTTCCCCCACTCCCTCTCAATTCCCCCCATAGTTCCCTCAATTGCCACAACCTGAGGGTCCCTGTGACCCCAAACCACCTCCCATAGACCCTCATGTGCCACCTCCATTCTCCCCCATGGTTGTCCAAGGCCCCATGGTCAACCACAGGCCCCCAAGAACCTTACAGCCCCACGATCCCAAAAGGCCTCCCCATGCTCTCCCGAAGCCCTCCACTGTGCTCCACAGCCCCATGGCTACACGATGACACCCATAGCCCACTGTGACCCCCTCACATCCCGCCAGCTCCCCCTCACGTGACATCTCCTGCGTAGTGCTTGATGCGGAAGTCCTGGTTGAACTCCATGGTCTTGTCTGTGGGGCAGAGCTGGGGAGCAGGGGGGTGTCAGCTCCACACTCACAGACTCCCCACTGCTCCTGACCCCCCCCGAAGCACCTTGCGGCTTGTGTAGTGGGGATGGTGGCCCAGGCGGGTGTCCATGGAGGCAAGGAAGAGGGAGTCAGTGACAGTCCCTGCAGCCAGGCAGGCCTCGTCCAGCAGCGCCAGGATGCCACGGTGAGGCTGCTCCACCAGCTCCACGATGGGCTCATTGCTGAAGTACTCGATCTAGTGGTGGGGAAAGGGGTGGGCACCCCAAATTGGCTCCCCCCAGCACCCTGATTTGCCCCACTCACCCCAAATCTTGTCATGACAGCTGATGGCATCCATGTGTCCCCTATGCTCCCTGTGTTCCCACCATGCTCTGCCAGGTGCTGACCAGCAGGTTCCCTTCATGTCTCCCTCAAACCCCTCACCTTCTGCCAGGTCATGTCCCCAACATGTGTCTCCAGAGCTCCCCATGTTCTAACAAGTGATGCTACCCATGTCCCCCATGTCCCCTTCATGTCCCTCTGTCTCCCCAACAGCTCCTCATGCTCTGCCAAGCACTGCCCCCCCATCTCTCCCCCATGACACCTGTGTTCCCTCATGGCTCCCCAGTCCCCCTCCAACCCCTCATGCTCTGCCAGGCAATGCCCCCCTGTCCCCCTCCCATTCCCCCTATGTCCCCTATCCCCCAGGCTCTGGCAGGTGATGCCACCATGTCTCCCCCATGTCCCTCACACTCTGCCAGGTGATGCCCTCCCGCTGGTACTCGGCCTGCTCCTGCCGCAGGATCAGCTCAATGAAGAGTTGCTGCAGCTTCTCATTGCAGTAGTTGATGCAGAACTGCTCGAAGCTGTGGGCAGAGAGTCAAGGTCAGGACAGCCCCACCAGCTGCCCCCTGCTCCCAGTGTCCCCTGTGCAACCCCTGAGCTGCACGGCCCTCCTGGTCCTGTCCCCTTGTACCTGTACCTCGGACATCCTCCCTCCCCATGTGTTTCTCTCAAGCCCTGTTCCCCCTGTTTCCCCTGGGCCCTGCCAACTTCATGAGTCACTCCCAAATCCTGTCCCTTCCCTGGGTCCCACCCCCATCCTGTGCCCCCCCATGTTGTGTCCCCTTCCTGTGTCCCTCCCAAGCCCCATCCCTTCCATGAATCTTGGGGTCCCTTTCCAGTGTCTCTTTTGTGCCCTGTCACCTCCTGGTGTCCCCATGCATCTCCCCAATACCTGTCCCCTCCAGGTGTCCCTCCCAGGTGTCTCCCATCTCCTCCACACGTCTTTCCCATCTCTAATCCCACACCACATCCCTCACAGGTCCTGTCCCTCCCCATGTTCTCTCTGGACCACGTCACCTGTTGGTGTCGAAGATCTCAAAGCCGTAGATGTCGAGCACGCCAATGACTGTGCTCTTACCGTGCACACGCGCATCGTACCCGCGGGCAGCGATGCCAGCGTTGATGCGCCCCACGATCCAGCAGAAGAGCCGCTCATAGATGGCCTGAGGACAAGGACAGGGTGATGAGCACCCAAAGGTGCTGGTACGGGCTGGGCTGGCCCCCATCACCCTGAGTCCACCCCTACCTTGGCACAGGCATCGCGGGCATACGCGGCCTCCTTGGGGCTGTGGCCCTTCTCGATGAGTTCCCCAGCGCCAGCCGCCACGGTGCGGGTCAGGAGCGCCTGGTGCAGGCTGTCAGGGGCCGTGGCCGTCAGCTCGGCCAGCACCGAGACCCCTGATGTGTCCTCCACCAATGTCATCTCCTCCTCCTGTGTGAACCTGAGGTTGCCCTGGGGAGGGACACATCTTGTTAGGGGATGGACAGAGAGAGGAGACATCTGGCAGCACCCAGAAAGCGGTTGGGATGTCCTGGCACCAGCAACTCCCGCATCATGGACTGTACTGGTTTGTATGGGGCTGTGCTGGACTGCACAGGTTTGTACTGGGCTGTGCTGGTTTGCATCAAGCTATACTGGTTTGCGCTGTGCTGGGCTGCACTGCATAGAGCAACACTGGTTTCTGCAGGGGTTTACTTGTTTAAACCATACATACTTGTTTGCACTGGTCTGTACTGGGTAGCACTGGGCCACACTTATCTGCATGGGGCTCTACTGGTTTGCCTGGGGCCAAACTGGTGCAGAAGGGCCCAGTATGTACTGGTGGTGGCCTCACCAGGTGCAGGATGGCAGCCAGGATCCGGCGCACAGAGCCTATCTCCTCCGGGGAGAAGCCGATCACGGCCATCGCCTCCTCCACCGCCCGGTAGCCAGATGCGTCATCTGTGCAGGCCTGAGGCCAGAGGGATGGCGTGAGGGGCCAGGACCCCCTTGCCTACCCTCCCTGGTCCCCTCCTGCCCCTCTCCCAGCCCCACTCACGTCACCCTGGGCACCCTCCCGGGTGTAGCGGTAGGTGCTGGGGTCCCGACAGAGGTGCAGCGAGGTCAGGAGTGCTGCCGGGGCACCCAGCAGCAGCTATGGGGAAGGAGGGTGTCAGCACCAGTGCCATTTGTCTGTCCCCATCTCATCCTTCCCAACCTGTCCCATCCACCGCCATCCCACCTCACTTATCCCATTCTGCCCCATCCACCCCATTTCATCCATCTATCCATCCATCCATCCCATTCTATCCCATCTTATCCTTCCCAACCCCATCCCACCCATCCTGTTCCATCCCAACCCATCCCATCTGCCCCGTCTCATCAATCCCAACCCAATCCCAACCTTCTCGTGCCATCCATCCTGTCCCCATTCCATTCCACAAATCCCATTCCAACGTTCTCATCATATCCATCCTGCCCCCATCCTATAGATCCCACCCATCCCAACCTTATCCCATCCATTCCATCTCATAAATCCCATCCATTTCATCCATCCCCTGCCAACCTTCTCATCTGTCCTGTCCCCATCCCACAGATCCCATCTCATCCATCCCTTCCCTATCCCATAGATCCTATCTCACAGATCCTATCTGTCCCAATCCAACCTTCTCATCCCATCCATCCCACCCACCCCATCCCTGGCTCACCTGGTAAAAGGCATGGAAGTTCCTCTCTCCTGGTTGCTGCTGGAGGACTCGGGACTAGAAGAGGGAGCAGGGGGGTGGGTGCCATGCAGATCCCATGTGGCAGCAGTGTTCCCATGGGAGCAGTGCCCACCCAGCTGTACCCAGAGGCCCCACACCTTCTCCAGCAGGTAGTTGTGGACGTGGCCGCCAGTGGGGTCACCCTTGAAGTCGAAGTTGATGTCCATGTACTTGCCAAAGCGGCTGGAGTTGTCGTTGCGGTTGGTCTTGGCATTGCCGAAAGCCTCCAGGACGCAGTTGGACTTGAGCAGCACATTCTTCACCCTTGGTGGGGCAGCACAGCACAGCTGCAGCATTGCTGACGGATCGTGGGCCCCACATACCACCCACATGGCCTTGGGATGCCCCAAGCTCCCCACACCACCCCACAGGCACGAGGCATCCCTGGTCCCAACACACCTTCTCTATGGGCATGAGGCACCCCTGGTCACCTCATGCTGCCCCATGGCAACTCTTTGGTCCTCCCACACCATCCCTCTGGTCATGGGACACACCCAGAGCTCTCCAGGGCCACCCCACACACATGGCGCACCCCTGATCACCCCAGCCCACCACTATATCCATGGAGCACCTCAGTTCCCCCCCACCATCCCTGTGTGGATGGGGTCCCCCAAGCTCTCCACAGCTTCCCTGTGTTTTGGGCACCCTTGTCTTCCCCCATCCCTATGGACATGGGACACCTCAGTTGCCCCACAACATCCCTATGGGTATGGAACACCCCAGGTTCCCCCAGAATCACCCTACAAGAGTAGAGCACCCCTGGTCCCCTCACACCTTCCCTATGGGTAGGCAGCACCCCAGAACCGGAACCTATGAGCACAGAACACCCCAATCCCTCTACACCATCCCTATGGACATGGGGCACCATGGACCTCCCCACTCTGTGGGCCTCCTCCCAGCCCTGGGCTGGTGGGTCCCAGCACCCACCCCACCTCCTGCCAGCACCTTGGGGCTGGACCCACCTCTCCACCTCAGCGCGCTGGGTGGGGTTGGTGATGGCAGCTATGTACTGCATGATGTACTTGCTGGCCTCTGTCTTGCCTGCCCCGCTCTCACCTGGCAGGGAAGGAAGTAGCTGAGTGAGGGCACCCACCACCTAAAGGTGGCTCCCATCCAGGGGTGCCCCAGCCCCTACCCGAGATGACAATGCAGGTGTCCTTAGCACGGCGCTTCATGGCCTTGTAAGCAGCATCAGCTAGGGCAAAGAGATGAGGCGGGCGCTCGTAGAGTTCGCGGCCACGGTAGCGCTCCACCATCGGTGGCCCGTAAAGTGCCAGTGCCTGGTATGGATTCACCGCCACCACCACCTCCCCGATGTAGGTATAGATGCGGCCCTGCGAGAACCTGTACAGAGGAGTGGCCATGGGGCAGGCTGTGGGAGGCATCCTGTGGGGTGTTGTGCTGTGGGGCGGCACACTGAAAGATGTAGTGCTGCAGGGATGGCACCAAGTGCCATGGGGCAGGATGGTGCTGTGTCACAGGGTGGCACCCTGCAGGGTGCTGTGGGGCAGGATGATGCTGTGGGGTAGCACCATGCCAGGTGCTGTGCCATGGAACATGGTGGTACCCTGCAGGATGCTGAGCCATGGGGTGGGACGACATCTTGTGTGGTGCTGTGCAGCAAGGCAGCATCCTGTGGGGCACCATGATGTGGTGTGGGGTGCCATGTTGTGGGGCAGGATGCACAGCCTGCAGACCACCCTGCCATGAGGCAGGACACTTCCCCTTGGAGCTCAGGGGATGAGTGTTACGCTGTGAGGTAGAGCATGCCACTCTACCCACAACCATGGGGCTGGGCGGTGCCATGGGGCAGTGACTCTTCCTGTGGGCAGGAAGTGCATGGGGGCCCCTATAGATGTGCACCCACCACCCTCCCCCCCCCAACCCCCAGCCCCATAACCCCACACCAGCCCCCCAGCCAGCTCCAGGGCAGGGAGGACCATGCCTTGGTTTCCCCCTGCCACAGCACAGCCCCACCCAGATGCTTCCTGCGGAGTCAGAGATTGGGTTCCCCCCCTCCCCGGTGTCCCCCATACCGCAGGCGCAGGTTCTCCAGGAACTGCTCCATGGTCACCTCATCCAGGAGGACGAAATCAGCTTTCCCGAATTCGGGACCCTCCAGCTCCGCCATGCCGCAGCACCCACTTCCCTTCTCCCCCTCTCCCCAGAGCTGCGCCGGCTTCCTGTACCGCCAACTGCCGCGCAGGCGCGGTGAGGACCCCTCGTCACCCAGGGTGACATCCTTGTAGACACCCAAATTTGGGGGTTGTCAACTCCCGACCACACCCATCCCTTGGGACACGGTTTTGGGGGATACAGGGGGGATGGTCACTGGTCACGTCACCACAGGCAGGAAAACCCGTTTATTTATTAAGATGCTGCTGGTCAACATAGCTGTGTTCTCATCCCAGTGTTCCCAGTTAAACCCCCAGGATAACTGGGGAGCTCTGGGAATGATGTGCCCAAGGTGAAGGTCAGCAGAAAAGGGACCCCCATGCTGGCATCCAACTGGAAGAAAAGGGGGAAAATCATTAGGATGAGGATAAGGGTGCTAATGAGCTCTTCTGGTGACTCCAAGCCCCTGAAATCCAAATTTCATGGCTCCACTCAACGCTTATCATGGCAAACCTGTGCTTGCCACCATTCTCAGTTTCAACTTTTACTCAAAAAACCATTCCCAGCAAATCCCAGCAATAAAAATCTTCCTTACCGAGGCTGTCAGCCAGTTTTCCTGGTAGCTTTCACAAAAATCTCTCAGATTTTCCACCTGGAATGGAAGAAATAAGGAAGATTTGGACTTGCGATAAGGAAAAATTGAAAGTTCCGTGTTTAATCCACCACATCCGCATGGCTCCTGGGACCAGAGTGGGACTGGGCAGAGCTTTTGCCTAAACCTTTAATTAATGGGATTAAATCCCTGAGAGCATGTGTGTGGAACTTCACAGCTTCTTGGTATCATCTGAACCTGCTCCGGGCACAAATCCCAGAGGCACAGTTCCATGGTGCAGCTCTCGGGTGGGATTTCAGCCTCTTATTTGATGGCTAAAGGGTGTAATTGCATAACTGGATAATTGCACATAATCCAACTAAATACAGTAATGGGATGAGCCCAGGAGATGCTCCCCAGTCAGCACAGGGAGTGGTTGCCCATAAATCCCTGTGGGATAAAGGGTTCTCCATCACCCCATGCCAATGCTCCCTCATGGAATGCCATCCTGAGACTCATCTGGCACCTTATGATCAGGCCTCAGCAGACCCCAACTTACAGTTCAGTTAATTACAACGCATGGCCGTTGAACCCATCTTCTCACTCCCGGTGTCCTCCTCCGTCCATCCTGTTCATCATCCCAGTGGGAGCCTGGAACTGGAGAAGGCAAACCGGCCTCAGCGGCTGCACCCTACCCGGAGACTAGGGGCTGCCCTCGGGCACGGCGTGTCCGGGATATCTATAACCCCACCCCGGAGAGAGCGGGGAGAGGCCTCAAACCGTCCCGGGGTTGCTCTGGCAAGCGCTGTAGGAACGGCGGGGACCACTCCAGGCCCCCCCACGCTGGAAGGCTTGCGGAGGGGGAACCGGGCCCCACCAGGCCCCTGAGTCACGCAGCCCCCCTTACCCCGGCCCGGTGATCCCTGCTCACCCCGGGGACACGCAGCCCCCCGGGCCCGGTGATCCCCGCTCTCATCGGTCAGGCCTCACGGAGAGCTACCCTTCCCAGCATGCACCGCGCCCCACAGCACCTCACGGCAGCAGCCACTGAGCTCTGTAAGGGAGAAGCGCCCAGCCCTGAGCTGTCCCGGGGCGCCTCCGCTTCATCGCCGGTCCACGGGGGCGGTTCCGGTGGCGGATGGCAGCGGATGCCGCCGGATGGAGCAAGACCGCGCCCCCCTCACTACCCGCCGCTGCCGCCATAGCTCAAAACGGACCCTCGCCGGCGTATGACGTCACCGCGCTACGTCGAGGGACAGCGCCACCTGGCAGGGAGGGAGCGCCGGAGGGGTCAACGCTTGCGCAGAAGAGCCGCAACCGCCTACTGTGGTTCCAGCAGAGGGCAGGGCTGGCGCCGGTGGGCGTGACTTAGCCTCCTGCGGAGCGCATGCGCCGGTGACTTAGCCTCCTGCGGAGCGCATGCGCGGTGCGTCTCTGCCCCCCCCCTTCGCGGGCCCGGGGAGGACTGACGTCAGTCCTCCCCTCGGAGGGCGGGGCGCGGTGCACGCCGGGAAGCCGCCGCCCAAGATGGCGGCAGGATTGAAAAGTTGTTGGTGGCGCTGAGGCGATTCCGGGCGGGCCGCGGCTGGGAGTGGGAGCCGGGTCTCCGGTGGGCTCTATGGTCGCTGCCAGGCAGTGAGCCCGGTCACCTGGGCCCCGCTGCGCACCGAGGCCGAGCGAGCACGGCCGCTGCGGGGATGCCCCCTGGGGGGCCGGGGCCGCCGCCGCCGGAGACATGGAGGAGGAGGGCAAGAAAGGCAAAAAGGTGAGAGGGGGCTGCCACTGGGGCGCCTTAGGTTTGTGAGGCCCCTCTGGAGCCGGAGGCAGAAGGGCATCTCCTCACCCCTGGGACACTTCACTCCTCACCCCAGCCCCTTGGGTCCTCTGTGGCCCACGACTTGTGGCCAGCTGTTTCGGAAAGCCCACCTAGGTGTGGCTGGAGCCCCTCTTGGCCTTTTCCCATCCCTGTGGTGGCTTCAGGTGTGGCCCTGTCCGAGCTGACCATCTTCCAGTAGGTGTGACTCCCCTGAGGGCTGGAGCCTCGCTTCCCTCACTAAAATACCCCTCCCTGTGAATTTAGGGCTTAGGAGGCATGTTGCTATGGTCTCTCTGCATTGGTCAGGGGCTGATTCGGGTGCTTTTCAGGCTGCAAACGAGGTTGGAAGCTAAAGGCAAGCCTTAAACACTGTTCTGTAACAGCACTGGGATGTTTTGTCTACTGACTGGTGCTAAACCGGCTGGTCTGCATACACGAGCATCGTATTTGTATATCTAAATTGAGTCAACTACAGTCAAAGCTACTGTGCTGCAGGCGCCTCAGAGCTCATCAAGCTCCAGCTACGTTGGCTGTATCCGGGCTGCTCCAGTTTCTCTTCTTTAAACCTATTTTTATGTCGTGTGGGGGAGGTAAAGGAGCTGAGGATTGAGGCTGGGATGCTTGCCGAGAGCAGCGCTCCCTGGGGTGGGGGTGGCTTCTTTTTGAAAGCAACCTGTCCCATGGTTTGGTGACATAAAGGGAGGAGAAAAGAGCTCTCTTTAGTTGTTTTGGGGGTACCTGCAGTAACGGCGATCTCAGAAGGTGGCAGCAGAGTCTCCTGCTGGAACTCTAGTTCAAACTGATCAGGATACTCACAGAATGAGAAATATTAAATGTGGGTTTCTTGTCTGTTTTTGGTTTTTATTCTGGAGTTACCACACAAGTTTCTTAGAGCTGTGTCTGGGAAGTTAAACCACACCTGTGTGGGGGGTGGAAGGATCAGCAGTGCAGGTGGAAGAGAAATTATTTGGATGTGTCACAGTCCTGTTTTTAAGAAATCATGATATCATTGAATCACAGAATGGTTTGGATTGGAAGGGACCTTAAACCCCATCCAGTTCCAACCCCCTGCCATGGGCAGGGATCTTCCACTAGACCAGGTTGCTCCAAGCCCTGTCCAACCTGGCCTTGAATGCTGCCAGGGATGGGGCAGCCACAGCTTCTCTGGGCAACCTGTGCTAGGGCTTCACCACCCTCACAGGGAAGAGCTTCTTCAGATCTCATCTCAGTCTTCTCAGTCTCCCCTCTGTCAGTTTAAAGCCATTCCCCCCTATCCAAAGCCCCTCTCCAGCTTTCTTGTTGGCCCCTTTAGACACTGGAATCTGCTCTAAGGTGTCTCTGGAGCCTTCTCTTCTCCAGGCTGAACAAGCCCAGCTCTCTCAGCCTGTTTCCATTGCAGAGGTTTGCCAGCTTCAGAGCTGGATGCAGGACTACAGGAAGAATGCTCACTTCTGGGGCTGCAGTTAATTGTAGAGTAGGTGTAGATATAAGCAAATACCTGATACTTGTGGTGGGCAGTGTCTGCAGGGCTAGGAGCAGTGCTCACCTAGAATATGCAGGCAAGATGCGATAACCTTGTACAAGTGGAATCAACTTGTCTCTACTGAGAAATATTTTCTGCTGCTTGGGGAAAAAATTGTGTGTGTGGGAGGTTCCTTAGAAAATCATATTTTCCAGGAATATTGCTTGCTTTTGTCCCTGGAGATAGAGTGCTGTTGTGCCAGCTGGAGTAATCTGGGATCTTTGTGCTGCTGTCTGGTATCTCTTAGCATGAGAAGAGGTAGCCAGCTCCTGTGGTCACAGATCCTCAGGACAGCTGAGGTGGCAGGGACCTGTGAAGATGGCCTAACCCAGCCTCCTGCTGGGAGCAGACTGTGTCCTCTTGGGGTTTGATTATCTCTGAGGATGAAGACTCCATGAACTCTCTGGGTAACCTGTTCTACTAATATGTTCACCCCACCTTAATAAGGTCAGGGGTTAACCTGATGCCATTTTTCTGGGTCTGCTGCAGCATGTTGTGGTCTCTCATGTACTGGTGGCCCTAGATCCAGCCACTCCAGTCCCGCAGCGCTGTTTCCCTGCTGTGTGATGGGTGATCCCTATGGATGAGGAGCTCACTGTGACCCACAGGAATTGGCTGCAGCTGGGGAGCTCAGTGTCACACAGTGGTGGCATCTCTGGGCTTATGGAGCTTGTTTGGTGAAAGATTTTCATCATAGAGATGGTTGATTAATCCTTGGAGCAGGTGCTATGGAGATGGGCATATTCATCTGCTGTGCCACAGCTGTTCCCAGCTGCAGGGAGGAACTCTTCTTCCGTTTTTTTTTTTTACAGGCTCTGGACCATTCTAGATGGCAGGTACCCATCCCTCTTCCAGCAGCAGGCTGAAACAGGGGATCTGAGTTCCTTCAGTGATGCTCTGAAGGGGTAGGAGGCAGGTTTAGTCAGGACTAGGGAGAAAATCCCAGCCCTGTTTTGGGGTGACTCCAGCCTTAGGCAAAGCTTGTGCTCATTAAACTGGAGCCCTGGAAATCCTGCTAGGAGCTTGCTCTTGGTGGCTTCCACCAAGGACCTCATCCCAGTCAGAACACAGCAAGGGCAGAATGGAGCACATCCCAGCCTGCTTTTAGCTGTCCTTAAGAGATGTCCCTTAAACAGGTTAGGAATAGAACACCTGTTCCTCACTAATACTGGGAGGAAGGATGGGTTAATTCAGAGTGTGTTGGCTCTAGTTGGTCTGTGTGGCTTTCATGGTGCTTGCCAGTGAAGTCAGCTGGGCTGTGGAAACCTGCTTAAAGCTGGAGAGCAGTTGATCTGCCTTGAATGAGGATGGGTGTTCCTGGCATGCTCCTTCCTGGAAAGAGAAGGGGTGGAGGGAGGGTGGAGGCACATTTTAATTGCTTTAAGCTGCCAGAGAGGAGATTTAGATGAGATCTGAAGAAGTAGTTCTTCCCTGTGAGGATGGTGAGGCCCTGGCACAGCTTACCTAGAGAAGCTGTGGCTGCCCCCATCCCTGGCAGTGTTCAAGGCCAGGTTGGACGGGGCTTGGAGCAACCTGGTCTGGTGGAAGGTGTCCCTGCCTGTGGCCAGGGGCTGGAACTCGATGAACTGTAATGTCCCATTCAACCCAAACTGTTCTGTGATTCTATGACTTCTTGGTTACCCTGGTTATTTGCCTGTAGAGACGTTTTTCCTGCTGGCCTCCATTGTGCAGGCTCTTACAACATTTCCAATCCATACGATAGCTGCTAGGCTGCCGCAGGTGATCCACTGCAGAATGCTTTCCTGTCTTTCCTGAAGTAATTCTCTGGGCAGTGTTAGATGTTAGCCTAGAATTCCTTAGTTTTCCTGCACAGGTGTGCTCCAGATCTCTGCTGTCGGCTCAGTTTGCCTCTTCCAGCAGTTGCTGGCTCTTCCTTGTAAAGCTGATCTCGGTCTGCAGCACCAAATTCCTTGTGGTTTTTAAATGCTGGTTAATGTAGAGGATGTTGGCCAGTCCAGCAATTCCTTCTTGTGCAGATCATTGGGAAATGTCTGCCAAAACTGTGCTTGTAACTCCGAGTGTGCTTCACCCCATGCTGAAGGACTTGGGCCGCAGGGTCATGTTCTACACTGGGGTGTGTGGAGGGGTATAGAAAGCTGAGAAGCTTCTGGGGAGGGGGAAGTAAATAGCTGAAACTGTGAAACTGAGCTGTTTCTTGAAGCTGGATGGTGCAGGGCAGGTAATCAGCATTAATATAAAAGATACTGAGGGGTTCAGGGATTGACTTGAATCACAGCTTTGTGGGATTTTCTGCTTGCAGGAGAAGTCGCTTGAGCTTCCTTTATTATCCCAAATATCCGTTTTGTTCATGCCAGAATAACTGCTGGGTGTTGACAAACCCCCTTGCCTGTGTTCCTGTCTGAGACTCCATTGCCACAGGAATGATTCTTGTATGACTTCACTTATTTAGGTCACTTAAACCATAGAATCACAGCACGGTTTGGGTCGGAAGGAACCCTAAAGCTCATTCAGTTCCAGCCCCTCTGCAAGGGCAGGGGCACCTTCTACTGTGACCAGGTTGCTCCCAACCCCATCCAACCTGGCCTTGAACACTGTTGTGGATGGAGCAGCCACAGCTTCTCTGGGCAGCCTGTGCCAGGGCCTCACCACCCTCACAGGGAAGAACTTCCTCAGATCTCATCTCAGTTTCCCTTCTGTCAGCTAGAAGCCATTCCTCTTGTCCTGTCACTTCATGCCCTTGTAAAAGGGAGCTCCAAAGCTGGACACAGGACTGTGGGATGCTTTCACAAGATCACATGGGGGAGAATCCTCTCCCTCAGCCTGCTGGTCACGCATCTGGTGATGCAGCCCAGGACATGGTTGGTTTCTGGGCTGCAAGCGCACACTGCTGGGTTATGGTGAGCTTCTCATTGACCAACGCCCTCAAGTCCCCCTCCTCAGGGCTGCTCTCAGTCCAGTCTCCTCCAGCCTGTAGTTGTGCTGATATAACTAACACACTGTGTGTATTGTTTAGCTTGATTTTTAGGCTAGTAAAAGGACCTGCATGCACTTGCACCCTGCACTGAGTTGGTTGTGAGCTCATGGCTGTACTTCCAGGTGGACCAAGCCATGTGACACTCATTCCAGTATGCTGCCTGTCACCCCCTGCTCTCTTCTGTCTCACGCCTTGATGCAGCAGCCCTGACCTGATCCCCAGCCATTTCGGGATGAGTAGATTTATCAGTTGGGCTGTGATTCCCTGTGATAAAGCTCCAGGTACTGCCTCCTGGCATGGTGGCTGCTTGATCACTTCATGCCTTGCTCTGATGCCATGATGCAGAGGGTGTGATGAGAGACTTTTAGCCCGTTTCTCTGAGCTCTGTGCCTGTGCAGAAATTGCCGCTGTAACCTGAAAACCTGCTTCCAGGATAACTGCAGAATTTGGAGTCCTAGGAGGTGTGTCCAA